AACAAAAACATGCCAATCACTCCAAATCTTCCTGTCATGAATATGGCAAAAGTCCATTCAGAATGTACCCTTATATTTTGCTCCATATCCAAGAGTGCATCTTGGAAACTGGAGAGATATATTCACAATACACTATAATAATTATCAGGCAGAATGACTGCCAACTATCTTTCTTATTGTTTTTTTTCACGTTGTCGAAGTTGATTTCCTTCAAGTACAGCATGAGTGTGAGCTTTTTCCTTCAATTTTCGTTGGTTGCCAGTAGATTCTTTAAGCAGATCTTTTATATCTTCTCTACGAAGGGCCACTTTCGTGGCATCCTAATGAAATCATGATGATATGAACTGTCTACCGTGTGGAAGAGACGAAAGCAACAAATATGGCCACATGACGTTAATGCCGATAGATTCGTAAAATAAGAACTGAAAAGTCGATATGGTAACGCTCAATAGAATGATTTTTAGTTTTTTATTCTGAAGTTCGCTAAACTCCATGAACTTTCCTTATTTAGGTGACACTGATTGATGATCAAATCTGTGGTGAAGTTTTAAATTTCAAACTGCATCCATCTAATTAAGCAATGTGTTGTCGCTGATGTTTTCGTACTTGTGTTAATGATCAACTCATTTCTCATCTATCTAACTATTTTCACTTCTATTGACATCAAGAATAAAATGTGTATGCCGATTAAGGATCAAACAGAAAGACAGGTAGCCAATGAAAAAATGATCAGAAAGATATATGGTTAGAGGAGATTTGCTTATTTCCAATTAGTTGCTCATATACACTTCAAAAAAAGGTCGGAAGATAGACAAGAAGTAATATTATTGTGTCTTTATGGCAACTGAAATGAATGTACTACTGCTTTGTAAAGATTCAAATCTTCAATTTCGAGTTTTTTGGTTTCTGTCGGATATCTCAGTAAATTAATGTAGCACAAGAAAAGTATATGCTAACCATTGTGTCTCCATCTGAATTGATGATGGTTTATAGTTCAGTTACTGAAGGCATTTTAGTGTAGACTCAAGCAACTTTGTGATATTCTGGGGCTGGGAAGGACGTCTTTGCGTTTATTAGTCCAGAATAAGCAAGAGAAGTTGATTGTGCAAAGTCCAAGACACGTTTTGTCGATACAGCCAAAAACCTTCGAATATATCCTTGTGGTCGTTTCTAAAATTATGAAATGATAACAAAGAATTCGTGCCAGTAGAGAGTCTGGACAATGGGTGAAGGTGAAAAGATAATCCACACTCTGACGTCTATTTCACTCACTGTCAATATGATGAAAGCGATCGAATGAGCAAAAGTTCTTTTTATCGTAGTCAGGAATCATAGATATGTTTGACTTCGAAAGACATTGTTTATTAAAAGTATAAAATCATGGAATGGCCTTGTGCAAAAGTCAAACATGAAATATTATGGATGTAATGAATTGATGCAACGGGAGTAAAAAATCAAGGACGGCGTAAACGATTAAAACCAGATCGACAGTGCTTACATCAACCGAATAACATCAGATAATATTACGAAGATTCCACGCCAGTGAACGAAAGATAATGAGCACCTGAGCTACCGCTACTCGTTTGGCAGAGTTGCTTATGAATGCGAAAACAGAAAAGAATATTTTGTATTTTTTGTAACGAATTTTTCCAACTTTGATTTACTCCTGATAAAACCATGTTTGTGCAGCAAGATTGTATGGTTTCCGAGAGAAAAATAAGTGAAGCATACGTTTTGGTAAATGAAAGACTACAGCTATCGTTTTCTACTGCAAGTACTGCTTGATAAAGCCTGATCGCAGGTACCAACTGTAGTTCTTTCTCTTTATCAAGGCTGAGACAGAAGATCAACCTCAATGCTACATTATCGCAAGCTACAAAAGAGATCTTGAGATATTCGACTCATTCTTATAAAGCTCGACTCCTCTCTTTTTTTCAGAAAAACTTTCATTTCAAACCCACGCTCCTTTGCGAAGTTATGAATCAATCCCTATCTGTCAACCGAACTAACATGTCATAAGCTGCATGGTATATGCTTCGAATCTCGGACTATGCTCGATCGTCGATCTGGGTGTGAGTTTGATCCTCTCTTCACCCACATTCACATTCCATCCACACCCGCTTTGTCTGATGTCAGGATAGGTAAGTCTTGATAAAAATAGCTTGGCTTACATTTGGTCTCTTGGAGCTTCGATTAGAGACCTGCAAATTGGTCATGGTTAGGCGTATCCGTTACGTGATCTTGATCACATAGTTTGTGATCGTGACTAAAAAATCATGGTCGCACATGTCTCTAGCTCCGAGATAATGCTGTTAATAATGTGATCATGCATCATGTGTATTGTGTCTGTTTTCGTTGTTCTAATCAGCGAAATACATTCAGAGTAGCTATTTGTTCCTATAAAAATAACTGAAGTATACTACGAGCAATTATCTGCGTGTAAAATTCTCAATTTCTTCTTTATCTTTCATGAAATAAGTGGCGTATTCAGACGAACGTCGTTCGATGTTTACGAGTATATAAAGACAAGTTGTTGATTGACGTTTGAATCGATGAATAAAATGACATACAAAAAACTTTATTTTTTTTTGTTTATGGAAAGAATGAAGATTTGTACATATGTTTCAGTAATCGATTCTCGTGAGCGAAAACAATGTCGATGATTCTGGCATTAACTAGGCACGTTTATTTCTGTCTTTATTCTTCTCGTACATTTGGAAATGTGAATCAAAAGCATGAGCACAGTGTATATGGTGCATATTGGTTGGATTAGATAATTGATACGCACAAAGAAGGTGGCAGCAGACAAATATGAAAACAAACCAGAAGCTAATGTTAAAACGTCAACAAATCTCAATGAAGAAGCGAAGAAGAAAAGCAAGACATTGTGTAGTGATGAAGAGCTCGGTCACTTCTACTCATTTGTAAGAATGATAGGCAGAAAAAAGGATACGAAAGAAAGAATTCCTTAAAATACGGATGTTGAAAATAATTTAACAAAAAAAAGACTGAAGCACAATAAAGTTTTCGCTCACTGCAGCAATATACTAGCGAAAAGAAATTCACTTCAAACATACGTTTATTAAAAAAAACATTCATTCTCATGAATATTTAATCGTAAAAAGAAAAACATTCAATGAAAAAGAAACCGAAACACAAAGAGCATTTCATCACACGAAGAAAAAATAATACTGCAAACAAATTTTACAAAAGCGAAAAAAATATACTCATTCATTTTTGCGGCGATGAGAGTCTCTGCATAAATACTTTTTGTTTAAAGAAAAGAAAAAAGAGATGGATGTTAATCGACGGTTTGTAATGGATACTTTTTTTGCATCTTTTCATTGTTCATTGAATGAAATGAGAGCTATTAAAGATATCATCAGGAAAAAACCGAGAACGTATAGAGACGTTTTTCTGGACCCCATGGATTTGAGATTTGTCTCTTAGAATGAAGTTACGTATAGTTCCTACACATATTTCACGATTGGAATTCGTGATACATGACATTAAGGAGAATACATCCCATTCCGCGATGTTGAACATTCCGGAATCAGTTCCCGTACCGGAATCGCTCAGCATTGGCATCACT